AAGAACTACAACAGAAGTACCCTGGTTAGAGGTGAATCGCTGCAGAGGGGGTTGTCCCAAAGCAGGACCTCCCATCTTGAACCGGTTCGGGCGTTTCCGTGAGTCACGTGACCCACGGCGCCTTCTTCGTGACCGTCCGTCCACTGTCTACCTCCACAACAAACACAGGACGGTTAGCACCGCCGTGAGCGGCAACATGTTCCGAGCTGTTTTCCGTCTGTCAGCCGCAGGGTCCCGAAGTCTGACTCGGACACGACCCTGCTACTCAGGTAGAACTGCCCCACATTTACAAAGCWGGCGAAATTATTATAGCAGAAAGATCATTAGGGTTAGCTTGTTTGGCTAGCTACCTAGCTTAGCCACTGCTGGGGGAGCAGGTAGCCAGAAGCTAGCGTGGGGTGACATTGAAAGGATTTTGTTGGCAGCTGTCTGAATGAAGTTTTGATTAAAATAGCTATATATCTGTAAATGTTTTTAGATTATTTTTAAACAAGKTTTCCCGAGGTGAATTCAAAGACACAAATCCACGACCTTGTGATGACTTCCCTTTGTTTGACAGAAAAAGGCTGTGGTTGCAGTTTTTTTTTATATCATGGTCATGTATGGCCTTCACTCAGTTCGTCGTATGTTTTCGCACTAACGTTCTGTGTCCATTTATTGATAGGTTTTTGTGGTCTGCTCCCTTTAATGAATGAACCTTTAAGTCTGTCATTCAGCTGTTCATGTAAAGGACAAAACACTCAGGTTTAATAGAAAAACACACACTTTTCTGTTTTACAGTTTGTTTGTATACRGGGCAGCAAAACACATAGCAGATAATAATATTTAGAAGAAAATTCAGTATTGTCCTTTATTGGACTAAGAATTAAACGAAACTGAAAGCAATCTGAGGTTTTTTTTTCCAGTTATTTGTTTATTTAAGCTGTGAAACAAAAGCCACACCGATGAATGTTACCTGCATAGCTGTCTTGGTAATTTTCTCTTCCTGTGTGAGATTTTCATTAATCATTGGGCGTGCAGCTTCTGAAGATAGCTTTCAATTCTTTATTTAGTACAAACCTGGGTCATTTAGTTGTAGGACATTGCAGCCACATTTAAAATAACATGTGGATGCACAATAATTGAGCTTTTAATTTCAGAATAAAACAAAACGACATTGTTGCTGTTCAAGCAGTCTTATTTCTGTTTTTATTTGTTAGATAAAACTGTGTTGCATTACTGTTATTCTTCAAGCATTGTTTGATCTGTGGTGAGGACAGGGAACAGGTGGAAGTGGATTTGGAAAGGTGGGGAGGTATGCACTTGAAAGAAGAATGAAAGTGAGCTAGACATAATATGAAGGAAATATCACAGAGTCAAAGGAAAAGTTTACAAGAAAATAATGAGACCAGCTTTGTTGTCTGGTCTGGAGACAGTGGCRTTGATATAAAAGACAGGAGACAACTGGAAGTGGCAGAGCTGAAGATGGTGAGGTTCTCCTTGGGAGTGACAAGGACAGATAAGATWAGAATGAGATCATCAGAGGTACAGCACAGGTTGATTGACGAGCGTATGAAGTTATAGAGGCTAGACTGAGATGGTTTGGACATGTCCTGGGGTCGGATTTATAAAACTGGCGTACGCACAATTTGAGCCCAGAAACGTACGTACTTTACTTTTTACGCCAAGGTTGTGATTTATAA